AAAGGGTATTATATTAGTCAAGACTAAATAATAAAAATTTAAATAATTATTTCTAACTACCTACCAATTTTTTTACTAATTTTTATGAACAAATAAATAATAAATCTGTTTTTGAATTCATTTTTATTTAGTATAAAAATTTCAATAACTGTCAGTACCTAGTTAGTTTTAATAATATATAATTAAAATTTGTACGCAGCTTATCGCTTAAATGTTGAGTGTCGTGTATTCATCACATTTATTTATATACAAACTCTATAAAAACAATTTAGTTTAATTAATGAATAACCACCGCTCCCCATTTCATAATCCTGGCTGTTATACACTGAATAACATCAGCTATACGATACAGTTGCATCCACTAATCACGTATTAAACACTACACAAACTCAATCCATTATTTTTTTGAATATTATGATATACTATCGTTCATAAACTACCCAAATTGACAACACTTACATACATTCCAGTCTCACAATACCTAGATAGAATTTCATCAGCACCTACTTACTACTAAGGTATACCTACCAGCTTCTTTTTAATTTTAATTTTATGATTTTTATTCTGCTTCAAGTAGTTGAACACATTACACATTCAAATTATTCTAAAACAAATTTAATCTTATATAATCATATATGTATAATATGATATGTACCTGTGTGAACATTTCCAGATTGACAATTTTAGTGTTTGTAATCTGCAGTTTTACACGACTGGCACTATTAATTTCCATGGCCAATAAAATCAACTTTTTACATTTTATATCCATTTCAGTCCAATTACTACTATATAATGCAAATATGATCGAATCTTTCTAAATAATAAAACATTAATTTTTAAAATATTTATCTTTTACCTATTTATAAGATGAATATATTTAATATTGCTATATTTACTAATGATAATAGTTTTTGMTATTCAAATTCAAAGTTAATATAGATATCGTTATTTTAGTTACTTTAAAAAAAAATATTGAAGCAAGAGATTAATGCATTTTAGGTAATAAATTTAAATAATTCAACATAACTATAAACAATTTTAAAGTTCAATATTTATCAATTGACTTGATAAACCATWTAACAGRCAAGTCACAGTTATAAAAATATGATAATAAGCATGAATTTAATTATTTAATATCAATAATATTAACTAATATTATTTGGTGATACATTGATAAATTACTAATTGACTTAATAAATTTATAGTATTAATTTTACACGAACACAAAATAAATTGAAAAAATTGAAAAAATACTACATTATTATTACTTTTTCGATTATAGATCCAAATACAAAACACGTCAGGAATAGTTGAAAACTAATAAGAGGATGTACTGCAACTAATTTTAATATAAATGATGAATCTCCTAAATCATGTTCGCGAAAACTCTAAAAATTAAATAAGTATAGTCAGTATAGATATATAACAAAGTTTAGATGATAAAAGAGTATTACTCGCAAATTCATAATTTACTTAATACAGACCCAAATTTAATTCATAAAATAAAATAAATTGCATTTATCTTACCATCGCAGCAACAAACCAAATAATTATGTGTGAAGTTGATGTTATAAATATTTGTAAAAGAGCCACTTGCTGGAATATCGTACAGTATTCTTTTAATTTTCTATAACAAAATTAATAATTATTGAAATTGTGTTATAAATAGATTTGATCAACTACGGTATAGATAATTCAATTCTATTAATTGAACAACGATACAATTTATATAGGTGCTTCGTTGTGACACCCGTAAATCGTCAAAAACCCCTTACACATCTCATATTTTTTGTACCCAATTTTTACTCATTTGTACCCTCTTTAAAAACCCACTCCTTTTTACGTAAAACTAATMCCCTGTTCGGGAGCTATAAAAACGTCGTACTGGTAACAAGCGTCTTTATTGAATACCTGCGCAGTGCTTGGTGTTTTTAAAAATCTTTGTTTTTCGGTTTACCTAAATGTATTATTACTAACCATGTTAGTAATTTWTAATAAAATTACTGTTGTATACAAGTATATTTTTATTTGACAAAATCACTTTGTTGTATTTTACTGAATAAAATATTTAATTCTCAAGTTTTCAAACAAAATCACGCTTTTGGTACAGTATCAACCGCTTATTGAACTTTATAGAGCTACTTTAACAAAAACTACATAATTTCAAGTTATTTTTKTATTTTTTTGTCTGTGATGAGCTCAAGCAAAATAAAATGATATTGTTTTGGGACCAACCAAATTAACAATAACATCTTCAAATGTATAGGGARATTATATAAGTGGAATCGAATAGAGTATGTTATACACTTATAAAGAATAATATCTCAGTTTCACATTAATTTTAATAGACGTTTAATTGATGTACTGTTTTCAAAATAAAAAATAGTTTTTTAATTTATGATTTTGGTTTATTTTTTGGTAGATAGGTTTCTTAATATAAGCATTAGTAAAAAATCTGTAATCAAATGATTTAGTTTACAAATAAGTAATTCCAATTTGAGGGCAATAGTGT